GAGCCCGCCCGCCGCTCGGAGCCCTCAGCCTCGTCCAGGTCTGCGGCACAGTTGGGGGCTCGAAGCTGACTGCCTCGTCGCTGGGACGGCCCCCCGTCTCGAAGACTGGAGTGGCCAGCCCTCCCCCTTTGCAGGGGTGGTCTTGCCATCCACCACCTGGGCGGCCGCGAGGCCATCGCTGATTTGCCAGAGGTAAGGCACCCGTCCACAGATATGGCGGCCGTGAGCTGGGTCGCCTGGCGGAGGCGATCGCCAACATGGATCAAGGGGGCGTGGATTAGCGACGGGTCCCGTTTCCGTGGAACATCGCGGATCTCCGCCGCCGAACGAGGCAGCGCCGGCCGCATTTCGGGGAGGGCACCTCGCCCGATCCATAAATTTGGCGACCGCGCGCCAAATCTATGAACCGCTAATCTATGCTTGCGCGCCACCGATGGGTGGAGGGGCTGCTCGGGTTGCTGCGATACCAGGCGGGGACAGCCTGCACTGCAGGCGTCGCGCAGCTTGTGAGCCCCGTGTGGCTGACAAGGTGCGAGTCGCGACAACTGTGGTGTCGGTTGTTGTGCGACTCGCCCACGCACTTCACTGCGTGCCAGCCGTGCGGGTCGACGAGGAGCTCGTGGCAGAGGTTGCCGTCTCGGCGGCGGTGTTGGCAGCGAGGGCCCGGCGGGCGGACCGGGGCGCAGACCGTCGCTTCAGGTTGCCGTCATTTTCGGCGTCGGCGCCCGCGCCCCTCGTTTGGTCGTCGTCGTCGTCGTGGTCGGCTGGCCCTCGTAGTTGTCGTGGTCGTCGTAGTTGTCGTCGTGGTCGTCGTGGTCGCCGTGGTCGTCGTTTGGCCGTCGTTTGGTCCTCAGCGTGGTCGTCGTGGTCACCGCGGTCGTCGTAGCTGTCGACGTCGTCGTCGCTGTGGCGGTCGTCGCCCCGAGCTCCCAGCGGCTTCGCGGGGGGCGCCCAAACCCCGCGCAGGCTGTCACACCGCGCGGAGGTCGCGCACGCGGCGCCGCAGGCGGGTGGGGCGTCGTCGCCTCGTCGTCGTCGTCGTCGTCGTCGTCGTTGTTGTCGTCATGGTCGTCGTCTTCGTCGTTGTCGTCGCCCCGTCGTCGTCGTCGGCATTATGTGATTTCCTTGGCCGCGTTCTCTTTGTCGTTTCGGCCTCCGGGGGGTCGTTCCGGGCTCCGAGGCCATCAGAAAGCAGGTCGCGAATACAAATTGGTCCCACGGGTGGGGTCGAGTGGTCAAGGGTACACGTCGTGAACACGGCATGAAGTTTGAGAACAGAGATTGTCGAAGTCTTCGTCGTCAAAGATTCTCCTCCACTTGCTTTATCCGTCTACAGAAATGCCCCCCTTCATCGTACCACCAGGCGTGCCGCTATCCTCATGACAAACATGCAGACCAACCCGGACGAGCCCAAACGCCAAGTACAAATTCCCATTTCGCATTTTCGACTCAGCAAGAAGTTGTGGATTCGAGCGCGGGTCAAGGAGCCATGCGATGATAATCCCATGACCTGCGCCGCTGGAAACACGGGCGCCGCTGGAAAACAGTGGGTTCGTTCTTATCATGACCACAACTATCATCATCCATCACCGAGGGCGAATCGCCAGTAGGAGGACAGGATGAGGAAGCAGGAGAGACAGGGTGGTGGTGATGATTATGATGATGCTGCTGATGATGATGCTAGTAAGTATAATGGTACTGGCAATGGTGATAATTATGTTGCGGATGATGATGTTGATGGTGATGTGTTTGATGATGATGAGGATGATGATGATGATGATGATGATCGTGATCATGATCATGATCATGATGAGGAGGAGGAGGAGGATCAGGATGATGATGATGATGATGTTGACGATGACGTTGATGATGCTGATGATGATGAGGGTGAAAATGATGTTGATGATGAGGGTGATGTTGATGGCGATGGTGATGCTGATGGTGACGACGATGATGATGACGATGATGCTGCTGCTGACGATGACGATGACGATGACGATGATGATGATGATGATGATGATGATGATGATGATGATGATGATGATGATGATGATGATGATGCTGTTGATGACGACGACGATGATCGGTGATAGGTCGGCGTGGCGCAGCTTGGCGCGAAGGTCCTGAGCCTCCGTAACCTTGTCATTCACTGGTTGCGGGGCTGCTCTGGGGAGCCCTTTGAGATCGGAGAACTCTCCGTTGTGTCCCTTGCGTCCCCCGGGTTTCCCCATTTGGCCAGCACCGAACAGCGTCGGCACGGGGAGGCAGGTCGACAGAAGACAGGGGCGAGGAGGCGAGGAGGAGGGGGAGGAGGAGGAGGAGGAGGAGGAGGAGGGGAAGGAGGAGAGGGAGGAGGAGGGGGAGGAGGGGCGGGGGAGGAGAGGGAAGAGGGACAGGGAGATGCGAAGGAGTGCACGAGGAGGAGGACGAGGACGAGAAGGAAGAGTGGCCGGGGGGGAGGGAGAGTGAGTCGGCGGCGAGCGAGTTGGGGGGGAAGTGAGAAGGAGAAGACCTTCTCAGAAGGCGGCGGGACCTCTCAGAAGCCCTTGCGCCTTTGAGGAGTTGTTTGTGTCTTCGGGGAAGGCTTCGAACACTTCTTGGAAGGCCGGAGGACTTCCGAGCCTTCTGGGAAGGCCCGCCCTTTCTCACGTCCCCCCCGCGCTCGCAGCCAGGGGAGAGGAGAGAGCGGTGGCTGGCAGCAGCGGTGGAAGGGGGGGATCGACAATGGGAGGAGGAGGAGGAGAAGGAGAGGAGAGAGGAGGAGGAGGAGGAGGAGGGGGAGGGAGGAGGAGGGGGAGGAAGGAGAGGAGGAGGAGGAGGAGGGAGGAGAGGGAGGAGGAGGAGAAGCAGGAGCAGGGGCAGGGGCAGGGGCACCAGCAGCTGCCCGCCCCGAAGCCTCTCCTCCTCTCCTCCGCGCTCTCCGCCGTCTCTGCCGCTTCGCTCCCATTACTCCCCGCCCTCGCCTCCCAATCGCGGCTCCCCATCCCATCTCTCGTCCCCTGCTACTCCTCCTCCTCCTCCCCTCCTCCTCCTCCTCCTCCTCCTCCTCCTCCTCCTCCTCCTCCTCCTCCTCCTTCTCCTTCTCCTTCTCCTTCTCCTTCTCCTTCTCCTCCGCCCACCCCTCCGTCTTCGCTACAGCAGGCGCACCCAGGAAGAGACTGGCTTGCCTGCAGGTGCCCCACGGGAACGTCTTGTCCCCCGATGGCCCCCGGGACCCACGGAAGCGCGTGAACACCCTCGGAAGCTCAAAAACCGACGCCGCATGTGCAGGCATACTCCTTGCAGTATAATTTCTGATCGTTTGTCGTATGTGCCTACTGTACCCTCGGCCTCCCACTATTTCCCCGATCTGCCACCTCCCCCATCTTGCCCCGCCCCCAGCATCCTCTCCCTCCTTCCCGCTTGCTTATCCTTGGTGGCACGCATCCTCTACGATGTTGTCAAATCGGTTCGGTTTCTTGCGCGTGGCCACCAGGAGGCCAATCGGGGCGTCCGAACCGCCGGTGAGAAGCCCACGTCGAGCACAAGCTGCCAGCAAGGTCCCGACCATCCCCAGGTCACCGAGCGTGTTCCACTACTCGCAAAGTGCCTACTCGCAAACGTCCAACAAAAAAACAACGTTTGCCTGCACTGGAGACTGTTTGCCTCGATGCATTGAATCCAGGTCATATTCGAGTAGCTACTATGCGAGTGGTGGAGCGCGATTGTCTACAAAGGCGACGCGAGTCGCAGATCAGCGATGGAATCACCTGGCACCTGTGTACATTCCTCTCCCCTCTTGGGGTCGTTTTGGGGTCCTCTTGGGGCCCTCTTGGGGCTGCCTTGGGCCATCCTGGGGCACTCCTGAGGCCTCGAGAGCGCATCGGAAGCGACGAGGCGAGCAGGCAGCAAGCACTGATGTTCCTCAGGTTTGGAAGGATTTGGGCCTCCTGGGGGGCCCCGAGGAGACCCCGAGAGCACTTGGGAACCGTCGTGTGACCCTCGTCGGGCTTCTTGGAGACCTGTCCTCCCCCCTCCGCAGCTGCTCGGGCCCAAGAGGAGGCCGAGGTGCCACCCGCCTCGGGCGGGCGGCACCGGGGGGTGACCTGGAAAGGGGGGGGGAGAAATGGGCCTCAGGAGGGGCCTCTCTCAGTGCCCCTTTGGGAGTCAGCAGGGGCCCCAAAGGGGCCCCATACAGGGCCCCTTTGGGGCCTTTTGTTCTCCCCCCCCCCCTTGCGGCGGCGGCATTGGATGAGGCACGCTTTCCTGGGGCCCAGACCCTGGCGCGTTCCTTCCTGTTGCAAGACAAGGTGGGTGGCCGACGTTTGGCGGCCCATCGGTCGCGAGACCCTGGGCTCCTTGTCGAAGGCGTCCCTGTCGAAAGCCTCCGCCGTTACCGCCCGCCCGACCTGCCGTCGTGAGGTGGCGGCGGCGGCCATGTGCCGCGCGGGGGCCCCCACGCCGCGCAGGGCGGCGGTCAGCACGCGGCCGGCCGGGAGCCGTGGAGACGAGGGCCGACGCGAACGGGAGCCAGCCACAGCGCCGGACTCGGCGGCTGGCCCCTGCGCCACGGTGTGCGGACTCCCGCCGCTTGCCACCAGTCAGGGTTCGACTCGGCGTTGAAGCGCGTGCGCTCCTCCTCCTCCTCCTCCTCCTCCTCCTCCTCCTCCTCCTCCTCCTCCTTCTCCTCCTCCTGAAGCGCGCGGGTGCGTGAGGAAGTGAGAAGTGAGCGCGCGCGCGCGCGTTGCGGGCAGTAAGGGAGGATGCAGGACCCTGCAGAGCCAGGGGTGCAATGACCTGGGCTGTAGCGCGCAGGATCTTGCAGGATCGGACTGCCCGGGCCTGCATGGACCCGGGTCAGTTGTGGCGATTTGGTGGCCGCTTCACCAGCGCAGCACGCCGCATTCTGATTCGACATCGTTTCACCACTGGCGGCTCCCCAGCGCCCACCTGCAGTGCCCCCGCGGCATCTCGACAGCAGGCCGCACGCCCGCATGTCCGCAGTGCGTTCCTGAATCGGCATGGAGGCGACGGCCCCGGACGTGGCGTGGCACGACAGCGCGGAGTGCATGTCGTGCGGCGGCGCAGGGTGCGGCCTTTGTGGGAAAGTCATCACACATGCCGCCTGCGCCGGGCGAAGCGATCCCTTGCGTTCGCTCTCGCCGCTTTCGGGCCCCCCCTTTGGAAGGCCCTCGCCGCCACGGCCAGTTTCGTTGGGATGTGCTCGGAATTCTGGCCAAGTGCCTTCCGTGATATGTTTTGGGGAGTAGCGGTAACCGCTTTTTGTTTGCTCCTTGAGGGTAGCATCCCGATGCGTCTCCGATGCGATGCGATCCGCCGACCTCATCCGCTCCGGCCCCAGGTGGGCGGCCTTCAGGAAGAAGGCTTGAGGCTGCACACGGGCATCCCTGGGAGCTGGGCCAGGTTGCTTCCTGCGGGGGCAGTTGTGCGCAACCTTCAAGCTTGGTCATGGCAAGGCCCGGTATTTGCACGAGGTGCACTCCGCGGATAACAGGGAGACCTTCGAGGGCCCGAAGGCACATCCGATTGCGCGGCACTGTAGGAGGAGCCCGCAAGGGCCTCGAAAGCTGCTGGCCGCGCCTGAGGAGGAGGAGCCGCTCCTCGGCTACGACAGCCCCGAGCAGCGCCCTTCTGGGAAACACGAGCCCGTCGCCGACCCTGCCCTGGCCCCCGCGCCCGAGGACGAACCGCTCCTCGACCCAGCTGATTTAGAGCAGCACCACGTCGTGAAGCAGGAGCCCACTGCCGATGTTCCTCCTGGCCCCCACCCGAAAACATGCAACATTGGAGGGCACGCTGGAACTGAAGAGCTCTAGCGTGTTGGCCAGATGGACGCCGTACCGCGTGGTTCTGGACCGTGAGAAGCTGAGCAGGTTCGCGATCAGCCCAGAGGGGGCCCCAGAGGAGCTGCCTGAGGCCGTCATCTCCGCTTCCGACGCGTCCAGGCTGGAGCTGCGGGGCGCCAAGGACGGCAAGCGGCGCGTGCTCTGCACATCACTCTGGCAGAAAAGGTGCTGCGCCTGCGGTGCGAAGGCTCCCGAGGGTGCACGGGCGTTGTTGCAGGCGCTGGGTGCTGTCGAGCTTCCGCGTAGCCGCCTCCCCTCGTCATCCTCCTTCCTTGTCCTTTTCCCTCTTCCTCCTCACACCATGGAGACGACCGCCGGGCACGACATGCACAAATGCGAGCGTACATTGACGGCGGCTGGGCGTGCCTGCGCGTGGATGTGGACGGCTGAGGCAGACTGCGCGCGCGCGTCCCTGGATGCGGAGCGTGGCGTCACGGGTGGGTCCGCCCAGGTGCTCGAGACCAGGTGCGCCACGCCGTTGCCGCCGCCGCCGAGACGACGACGACGACGACGACGACGACGACGACGACGACGACGACGACGTCGACGACGACGTCGACGACGACGACGACGACGACGACGACGACGACGACGACGACGACGACGACGACGAC